GGGGGCGGTGTGGAGGGGGCGGAGCCAATGCAAATCGCAGCGCGCATCGACCAATCACGTCTCGCGCACGTGGTCAAGGGGCGGGGCGCCATATTGGGCGGTGCTGAGGGCGGAGCCATGCAAATCAGCCACAGCACGCCGCCCTGTGCATCATGGGAGCGAAATTTTGGGGATGGGGAGGAGGAGGAGGAGGAGGAGGAGGAGGAGGAGGAGGAGGGAGGGAAGAGGAGGGATGAGGAGGAGGAGGAGGGGGGATGAAGGAGGAGCGGGAGGTGGGGATAGGGAGGAAGAGGAGGAAGGGACGGGCAGGGATGAAGGAGGAGCTGGAGATGGGGATGAGGAGGAGGAGGAGGAGGTAGGGTACGGATGGAGGAGGAGGAGGAGGTAGGGTAGGGATGAAGGAGGAGGGGGAGATGGGGATGAGGAGGAGGGAGGGATGGGCAGGGATATAGGAGGAGAAGGAGGTGGGGATAGGGAGGAGGAGGAGGAGGAGGAGGAGGGATGGAAGAGGAGGGATGAAGGAGAAGGAGGTGGGGAGAGGGAGGAGGAGGAGGGAGGGACGGGCAGGGATGAAGGAGGAGCGGGAGGTGGGGATTAGCGAGGAGGAGGAGGAAGAGGAGGAGGGGGGATGAAGGAGGAGCGGGAGGTGGGGATAGGGAGGAGGAGATGGAAGGGAAGGGATGAAGGAGGACAGGCAGGAGGGGACGGGACACAGGAGGAGGAGGAGGAGGGAGGGAAGGGGAGGGATGAAGGAAGAGGGGCAGGTGGGCTTAGGGAGGAGGAGGAGGAGGGAGGGACGGGCAGGGATGAAGGAGGAGGGAGAGGAGGAGGAGCGGGAGGAGGAGGAGGAGCGGGAGGAGGAGGAGGAGCGGGAGGAGGAGGAGGAGCGGGAGGAAGAGGAGGAGCGGGAGGAGGAGGAGGGACAAGGCGGAGCCCGGGAAAGGCGCCACGCGCTCCAGCCCTGCCCGAGTCCGCAGCCACGCGTGGGATGTGAGCGGGGGGGGCGGCTCGGGCCGGGTCTCCTGGGGGGCCGGGGCTGGGATTTTGGGGGGATGTTCGGAGAAGGGAGAACCCCAAATGTGAGCGGAGCCCCTCGGGGGGACACCGGGGGTCCCGGGGGCGGCTGCCGGCAGGGGCGGCCTGGAGGAGCAGAGCCCCGCGTCCCCCAAAGTGGGGAGCCCGGAGATGGGGGCGGGGGGACCCCGGGACCCCAAAACCCCCAAAACCCCCGAGCATCCCTGCGTGGGGACCCCAGAGATGGGGCAGGGGGGACCCCGGGACCCCCAAACCCCAAAACCCCCAAAACCCCGAGCATCCCTGCGTGGGGACCCCAGAGATGGGGCAGGGGGGACCCCGGGACCCCAAAACCCCCAAAAACCCCGAGCATCCCTGCGTGGGGACCCCAGAGATGGGGCAGGGGGGACCCCGGGACCCCAAAACCCCCAAACCCCAAAACTCCCAAAACCCCGAGCAATCCTGAGTGGGGACCTCAAATATGGGGGGCAAGGAGGTCCCTTGGAGCCCCTGCACCCCAAAAAGGAGAAGAGGGGGAGAAGGGACCCCAAAACCCCGAGCAGCCCTGAGTGGGGAGACCAGAGTTGGGGGGCAGGGGGGACTCCTTGGAGCCCCTGCGCCCCAAAATATAGAAGAGGGGGAGAAGGGACCCCGGGACCCCAAAATCCCAAAACCCCAAAATCCCAAGCAATCTTGAGTGGGGACCCCAAAGTGGGGGGGCAGGGGGGAGTCCTTGGAGCCCCTGCACCCCAAAACAGAGAGAGAGGGGGAGGAGGGACCCCAAAACCCCCCGAGCATCCCTGAGTGGGGAACCCAAAGACGGGGGGCAGGGGGGACTCCTTGGAGCCCCTGAACCCCAAAAAGGAGAAGAGGGAGAGGAGGGACCCCAAAACCCAAAAACCCCAAAACCCCGAGCATCCCTGAGTGGGGAGACCAGAGTTGGGTGGCAGGGGGGACTCCTTGGAGCACCCCAAAAACAAAGAAGAGGAGGAGAAGGGACCCCAAAACCCCCCAAGCATCCCTGAGTGGGGACCCCAGAGATGGGAGCAGGGGGGAGTCCTTGGAGCCCCTGCACCCCAAAAAGGAGAAGAGGGGGAGAAGGGACCCCGGGACCCCAAAATCCCAAAATCCCAAGCATCCCTGAGTGGGGATCCCAAAGATGAAGAGCAGGGGGGACTCCTTGGAGCCCCTGCACCCCAAAACAGAGAGAGAGGGGGAGGAGGGACCCCAAAACCCCGAGCATCCCTGAGTGGGGAGATGGAAAAGGAGGGATTTTTCGGGATTTGTCCGGATTCCTGGGAAACCTCCCAGCAGCCTGGCCAGGGAGGCACCTCCCAGAACCCCAAAACGAAGAGAGGAGAGGAGGGAGAATCCCGGGAGGTTTTTCCGGAGCGGATTTTTCTGGAAGCCACGCTGACGTCCAGACACGAGCTCCGGCCGCGGGGACCTTCAAACCCAAAGCGCTCTCGCCGTTTGTCTTCCCCAAATCAGGAGTTTCTGTCCCCAAACCCTGGCTGGAGGGAGGAGGAGGAGGAGGCTGTGAGGAAGAGGAAGATGCCCTGGGATGCCCAGGCAGGTGAGGAGGAAGTCAGAGCCCCTTCCCCCTCTCCTGCTCCATCTCCCGTCCTGCCGGGGGCGCTCTGGGGGATCTCCTTGCCCTTCCCTGGGGCAAATCCCATCTTGTGCTTGTCCTTCCTCCCCCAGAGAAGAAACCGAGGATGGAGAGCAGGAAGGACAAATCCCAGCAGCAGAACTTCTTGGAAGAGGCTGATTTGAGCAGCTCCATGGCAGAGGAACCCAACGAGGAGGAAAACCCCCGGAGATCCCCCAGGAGGGGCTGCAAACTCAAATCACAGGGACCTGAGGAGGAAAATCCCACCCAGTGCCAGGAAGGTGGTCAGAAATCCACCCAGAGCTCGGAGCTGGAGGTCCCTGAGCAGCTCCACGATGAGGAGAAGCCCCACAGGTGCTCCCCAGAGCAGGAGCTGAGGGTGGAGAGCAGCGAGGACAAATCCCAGCAGCAGAACTTCTTGGAAGAGGCCGATTTGAGCGGCTCCATGGCAGAGGAACCCAACGAGGAGGAAAAGCCCTGGAGATCCCCCAGGAGGGGCTGCAAACTCAAATCACAGGGACCTGAGGAGGAAAGACCCACCCCGGGCCAGGAAGGTGGTCAGAAATCCACCCAGAGCTCGGAGCTGGAGGTCGCTGAGCAGCTCCACGATGAGGAGAAGCCCCACAGGTGCTCCCCAGAGCAGGAGCTGAGGGTGGAGACCAGGGAGGACAAATCCCCATGGCAGAACCTGGTGGAAGAGGCCGATTTGAGCGGCTCCATCACAGAGGAACCCAACGAGGAGGAAAAGCCCTGGAGATCCCCCAGGAGGGACTGCAAACTCAAATCACAGGGACCTGAGGAGGAAAAACCCACCCTGGGCCAGGAAGGTGGTCAGAAATCCACCCAGAGCTCGGAGCTGGAGGTCCCTGAGCAGCTCCACGATGAGGAGAAACCCCACAAGGGCTCCCCAGAGCAGGAGCTGAGGGTGGAGAGCAGCGAGGACAAATCCCAGCAGCAGAACTTCTTGGAAGAGGCCGATTTGAGCAGCTCCATGGCAGAGGAATTCAACGAGGAGGAAAACCCCCGGAGATCCCCCAGGAGGGGCTGCAAATTGAAATCACAGGGACCTGAGGAGGAAAAACCCACCCCGGGCCAGGAAGGTGGTCAGAAATCCAGCCAGAGCTCGGAGCTGTGGGTCCCTGAGCTGCTCCACGATGAGGAGAAGCCCCACAGGTGCTCCGAGTGTGGGAAGGGCTTCAGCTGGAGGTCCC